CAGAACTGGGGTAGCAACTTGAAAGGTACCAGTGGCATACTGGGAGAATCTGAAGTGTCTGGCATCAAGGTGAGCAGAGGCCATTGTACCTTTTCTAAATCCTCCTCGCACAGAGCCAGCAAGCTGGTGCCAGATATGAGACTCCTTCAACCTGGCCAACACTATTTGACCCACCTTGGAGATCCCCAGAGACTCTGCCTCAGCAGAGTTTACAGACCCACCAAAGCTGCTTTTCCATATGAATGGCTGGTCTTGGCTCATGCTTCACAACTTCCTAAATCCTCTCAAATAAGCAACAGCTGACCTCTGTGAGCCTCAGATCCAGCACTAGCAGCAGCCGCCAGCCTAGATTCACAGCTTAGCTTTGCCTGGGAATCTCCAAGTCCAGCATAAGTAGCAGACATCTCAGACTGTTCTATAGCTCATGTAGGATGGCCCCAGGCAGAACACAGATGGGGGCTGACCTTGGCCTGCACCACCTGGGAAATCCAGAGCTTGCACACCCATTGGACAACTACAGACTACGCTGGAGCACCACCACCCTGCCCCTGCACAGCTGATTCTTCATAGAAGGCAGAGCTTGGTGGTAAGTGGTCATAGCTAGTCCTTGCAGCTAACTGGCCTGGGTAAATCTCTCCCATTGATCTGCCAATAGCAGTTAAGACTCAACTACAAGAAGAGGGTGTACTCATCCCAGACAAAGGGCATGCCTTGAGTACCCAGCTTGGGTGATGGGGGAGGCTGAGCCACTGGACCCTGCAGGACACCTACTGCATTAGCCCACGCTACCAAGATGTGGAGCCAAAGCAGCTCTACCTAATAAATAGAAACAAACACAGGGAGGCTGCCAAAATGAATAGACAAAGGAACATGACCTAAATGTAAGAACAGATCAAAACTCTAGGAAAAGAGCTAAACAAAATGGAGATAAGCAATTTAGCAGATGCAGAGTTCAAAACACTGATTATAAGGATGCTCAAGGAGCTTAGTGAGGACCTCAACAACGTAAAAAAGATCCAGTCAGAAATGAAGGATACACTAATGGAAATAAAGAACAATTTACAGGGAAACAACAGTAGAGTAGATGAAGCTGAGAATCAGATCAATGATTTGGAACACAAAGAAGAAAAAAACAACCAATCAGAAGAACAAGAAGAAAAAAGAATTTAAAAAAATGAGGATACCATAAGCAGCTTCTGGGCAACTTCAAGCATTCCAACATTTGCATCATAGGGGTGCCAGAAGAAGAAGAGAAAGAGCAAGAAATTGGAAATCTATTTGAAAAAATAATGACAGAAACTTTCCTAATCTGGTGACGGAAATAGACATGCAAGTCCAGGAAGCACAGAGAATCCCAAACAAGATGGATGCAAAGAGGTATATTCCAAGACACATAATTAAAATGCCAAAGGTGAAAGATAAAGAAAATCTTAAAAGCAGCAAGAAAGAAGTTAGTTACCTACAGGTAACTTCTTACTGGAGTTCCCATAAGACTACCATCTGACTTCTCAAAAGAAGCTTTGCAGGCTAGAAGAGATTGGCAAGAAGTATTCAAAGTCATGAAAAGCAGGGACCTGCTGCTGAGATTGCTCTGTCCAGCAAAGCTATCTTTTAGAATCGAGGGCAGATAAAGAGCTTCCCAGACAAGAAAAAAAAAAAAAAAACTAAAGGAGTTCAGTCATTACCAAACCATTACTATGTGAAATGTTAAAGAAATTTATTTAAGATAAAGAAGAAGATTGAAGCTATGAACAATAGGACTTCCCACCAAGGTGGAGGTGTAGGTTGATACACTTTGCTTCCTCCCATAACCAAAGGAAGGATAACAACCAATTTTTAAAAAGTAACCAGAACTGCCAGAAAATCGATATGTATGGAAGTCTGACAACCAAGTAGTTAAAGAAGAAACATTATTCCAGACTGGTAGGAGGGGTGGAGATGGGCAGCTGGGGTGGATAGGACCCGTGGTAAGGTAGCAGCTGGCAGACCTGGTGGTCCCACATTTGCATGCAGATAAACTGAGAGGATTTTAAAAAATAAATATTATGTGATATATTTCTGTCAGGGGAAAAGGAATGTTTAATCCCTCAGCAGAGTGATAGGGAGAAAGGACAAGTTTTTAGCAGGCCTGTGTATTTTTGCAGAGAACGAAAATGTTTGCCCTCTCCTCAGCCTTGTGTGAACAAAGGCGGGAAAATGGGGTCTTGAGTATGACAGGTAGGATTTGTGGAATTCCCCTGATTTATTGGGAACATCTCTCTATGTAATTCCAACTTGAAACAGAAACATTGTCAAATAATACTAGCTGCTTACTTATGAAAGGCGATGTATTAGTCATTTTCAGAACTAGTACCACCAAATAAAGCCGTTTTCTTCAGGAGAGAGTCTATATTCTAAGGGCCAGGGGCTCTCTGTTGCCATAGCCATCTGATCTTGCAGAACAGTGACGTAAGACTAAGTGCTGGTTGTTCGATGTCGAGTCACTGAACATGTTCCACTGAGGTTATTTTTTCAATAGAAAAGTAGACTTTAACTCAGAGAGCTTTGACTGTCCATGTTTGGCAATGGGAGTTGGTGGAGTTGGTGGATGTGTATTTTGCCATCACCATTAGATTGACCACAGTTTTTATATCCTACAAGTTGTCAGAATATCCTATTCTCTGAAATTCTGTGGTGACTGGCCAAGTTAACATGTTGTGACCTCCTTGTATGTTTATAAATAATTCTGTATTCGATATTTTCTTGACGGTTGTAAATGTGCCACTAGGTTGGTGATAAATAACCCCATATTAACCCCTCCCTCCAAAATTAAGTACCTAGAAGCAGAATTTAAATAGTTAAAGGGTGTCTGGTATTAAAGCTCTCCTTTCTTCTTAGAACTTGATGAGTGATTTGGGCTTTGTGTGCGTGTGTCTGTGTAAATGTGAGAAAGTAGGTCAGAGCCTAGTGAAAATAAATTAAGGTGGGGGCATTATACTGTATCATTCTCCTGGGTTGGTGCTGTCTAGTGTAAGGAGTAGACAGTTCTTAGGTGATGTGACCCCAGGGCAGTCATGGAGGCTTGTATTCACTCACTCGCTCATTCATTCATTCATTCATTCACTCATATTTATCACTCAATAAATATTTATTGATCTTCTTTGTGTGTGATGGCTATAGTCTAGGCTCATGGGCAAACAGTAAATAAAACTGTATTTCTGCCTTGATAGAGCTTACAATGAACAAATGTATGATATAAGCAATAAACAAATAAATATATATTGTATCAGTGGTAGAACATGCTCTGCAGAAAAATGGTGGGTGGGAAGAGGAGGGGATGGAGTTGGGCACTTGCTATTCATAAGCTGTGGTCTCAGGGAGGACTCCTGTAATGTTTGCTGTTATCTAAATTCCACATGTAGAGAGGTTCATTTGCTTACATTTCAGTTTCATTCTGCCTTTTGAACTGCATCTGGAAATGGAAATGATTAAAACACCTTAGCGATTGGCTTCTTAGTGTGACTGTGTTTTAGATGATTTCCCTTGAGCAGATGGGGAGTGGGAAGCTGTGTGGAAATGGGGCCACGAAGCACCCAAGTGGGTAAGGTTCTCTCCTACTGTCATCTGGAGCCCAGCGTCCACAGGCCTTTGTGCTAAATTACTGCCCCATGGACTTACCTGTCCTGCTTTGAAGTACATTCTTGCTGGATGGCATTGCCTGTCCTGGCTGGGAATGCTAATTGGAAAAAGGAAACTGAAATACTTTTGAGAAATGTGCTGTACAATTAACATTATTTTTTGTCCTTTGTGACTGGTATATTATGTTGCTTTATATTTTCAAAGTGTTACTGTCTTCTTCTTCTTCATTTTGATTTAGAGCCTAGATGTGTCTCTAGGGATATCTTTATTTATGGGCCCTGACTCAAAACACGAAACTGTCTAAATGGGGAATGATCTTAATCCTTCCCACTCTCTGGGCCCCAGGGCTTCAGTAAGGCCCTGTCGGTTTCTCACATGCACGACCCCAACATGTGAAGCTGGCGCCAGATTCAGTTCTTGGTGCCAGGCTCGGGCAGTGATCACCAGATGGGGATTTGTACTTCTTCCCTCTAGATGCTGAGGAATTCCCCTTTGCTGAGGAAGTGACAACAACAAATGGCTACGGTGTCCTATTAAATGAAGGTGGCAAGTGAGGGAGAGAAAGCCATGAGGGTATTTCACTAATTAATAGCTGCTCCCAGACAGCAGACTGCTCCCCTTCCTGAACGTCTCTTGGAGCTTTGACTCACCCTCTTGGCTCTATCAGCCACCAGCAGGCATCACTGCATTCTGCTTATACGTGAACTTTCAAGACTGTGCCCTTCATCAATCAAAAGTAGTAAATATTCCTTCCTTACAGGCTGTGCACCAATCCTAGAACTGTCCCCCTTTACCTTTTCCCACCCTTTATCTGTAGCCAACGTAAATTCTTTCAGAACAACTTAGATCTTTCTTCCCAGGAACGTGATGTATATAAAAACTCCCCTCAGCTCCAAGATAGCAGATATGTTGCCTTCTCCACCCAGTCCTGCTGCTGGTGCATATACCCCAGGATCCGGTCCCTTTCTAGATAGCATGAGGTTCAATAAAACCTTTTTTTCATAACAGCATTTGGCCATGAAAATTTTTTTGTTTACCATGTGTGGTACCAAAACTGAGGTTTCTAAGGAGCAGTATTCTGTGTGCATCTATTTTGTGGTTTATGTCTACAGACCTCAGTGCTGTTCATGGGTTCTGTGTTCTCTGATGGAGGATTCCTGCAGTTTGGTAGCGTAAGCATGCTGGCTTTGCACTGATAAAGAATTTTAGGTCCAGAGAAAAAGATGGCTAGTACTTTTAGTTTGTGGCAATGCAGCTGCTTTTAAAAATGAGCAAAATAAGTCTTGTTTAAGTATTATTTTTCTCATTTTAAGCAAAACTGTTCAATGTGAGAGTAAATCTTAATTGCTATTTTTAATATAAAAATGTTTCCTTTTTTCCAGCTTTCGCATTGGCTTCTAAGGATATAAAGAAAATGGTCACACCATCTAAGGTACTGATTCTGATGATCAAATCTGTTCTTCTCATCTGAGATTTGTTTGTGGTTCCTTTAATGGGAACTTTCATGGTTTCCTCTTTCAAGGTTATTATGTTTATTTATTTATTTTTATGAATTTATGAATGTTGGTCCACCATAGATTTTGAATCCCTAGCAGCAACCAAAGATAGTCTGGCTTTTAAAAACATCTTTCAATATGTTAAAGCATATCCACTGGGTTTCAAATTTCATCCTAAGGAAAAAGATGTTCTGATGTGGAGGTAGACCTTTTAGAAGTCTTGGATTGACAAGCAAGTTTTCTCTGGTTGTTCCACATCTTAACCTTGAGTTTAACGTTCCCAGTCTGTGAAAAGATTATACTTTTTCCAGGATCACGAGAGCCTGAGTGTCCCTGACCTTGAAGGTGACACCATGAGAGGGCATCCTGGGGACTGGCCCAGAGACCCGGACTCAGTCAGAACCAGACACTGGACCTGGGGCCCTGATGGGGAAGGGGCAGCACTCACCCAAGTCTCTGAGCTGCTAATTTGTCATCATTTCATCACTGGCTTCATTCCAGAACCTCATCAGAATTTTACCGTGTGGGCTTTGTGCAAGTTGAGTTTAGCTGTGAGAAGGGGAAATGATATTTTAAACTATGAGTTGTTTTTGTCATATAATTAAGGCTCCATTGATTCTACTTTTTTTACCACACAATTAGTATAAAAGCATTTTTAAATAGAATGTTTCTTTTATCTGTTCTAACTATACTATGGGATTCTTACAAAAGGAAATAATAGTAATTCCTTAAGGTTTTAAGATCCTTTATGGTTAATTAAGCATTTTCAGACATCTAATCTTCTCAATGATCCTGTTACTGCTCAGCAGAGCAGATAGATATTCTTGTAAAAAGCTGAGAAAATTTATCCTCAGAGAAGTTAAGTGACTCGACCGAGGTCACATGTTTATTAAAAGGTAAAGTCAGAATCCAGATTTTCTGGATTTTTGTGTTTTCCATACTGTAATTTTCTATTACACAGCCGTGTGCACTTTAAAATGTGTGTGTGCATTTGGCAATAATGCAGCTCGTTTATAATAAATTTAAAGTGCTACCCAAGGTTTGTTAATAGGGAACTAAAATTTTACGTAATAAATTTAGAAATTATAGCACATACTTTCAAATACAGGTTTTTACCTAATCATTTCAAATGAAGAAATATATGTCTCCTTTGCCTTAAAATACACACACACACGTGTGTGTGCGTGTGTGTGTATATATATAAAGAGAGAGAGAGAGAAGGGGAGTCCTGTTCTTAGTGTTACCTTTCATGCAAAGGTATTAAAGCCCTTGAAGAGTATCATTAATCCCATCAGTGCCTAGGCCACAGAGCGGAAAAGCCCTTCATCCTGTGAGAAGAGGCAGTGGTGAAATGTCTCCTGCAGACCGAACCTGAACCTGGGAGACAGAAAAGAATCAGTTCGTCCGAAGTTGTCTAAAGTCTGTAGATGGCTCAGCAACAGGAGTTATGGCTCTTAAAAATGACCATGTTCGTCTGGGGTTCTCATTAATTTACCTGCCCCGTCATTGCTGCTCAGAGCAGCCGCCTGTGCTCCCCTCACCTCACTGCTCAGCTGGCACACACCCCAGAACACAGCCCAGCCCACACAGGGCTGGGCTCCTTCTCCAAACATGGTTCAGGTTCACTGGCTGCTGGCTTCTCATCAAAATCCTGAGTGCTGCCAGTGCCCTTGGTCCTGCCTGGGGCCTGGCCTCTTGTCCCAGGCTTCTCTTCTGGGCCCCTGTCCCTGAACTGTCCTAGGTTCTGACCTGTCCACTTTCGGGGAACCTGCCTCCCATGCTCCCTCCTCAGCCATGGCTGTGTACCCAGGCAGCCTGCGTTTGGGCCTGGCCCTGTGTCCTATGGTGGCTTGTGACAGTATGTCCCGTCTGACAAGGAGTTAGAGCTGGGCACTGGAGCCACACTGCTGGGGGTCATATACCTTCTCCATCACTGACCTGCTGTGGGACTGACTGGACCTCTCTGTGTCTCAGCGTCCTCAAGAAGGTGGGATAGCAGGGCCTCTCTCAGAAAGTCGTTTTAAAGATTGTGTGTGTGTGTGTATCTACCACGTAGCACAGTGCCAGGCCCTATTTAAATGTTCACCTGGTATGACAGCAAGACGTGTCCAGTGCAGACTTTCGAGAGGAACCTAAACAAACCAAAACGAGAACTAGACTTTACTGCTTTTGTCAATTAAATTTCTTCTATGGTGGCAGTTGATGTTACCTGAAGGAGGCAGTAATGATGGAAAGAGTGGCAGAACAGCCATGGAGCATTTGCTTTGGGAACACACTCTTCTCAGCATTCCATGATCTAACTAAGTCCTGTGCAGCGGGCCTTGCAGTTATGGTTCCTGTTGTCCAGGTGGGAACCCAAGGCCTGAGCCAGTGAGTGGTGGAGGCAGGAAACACGCAGGCCCACCTTGCAGCGGGGTCTCCGATGACCGCGTTCTGCAGACCTGGTTTCACTTGGAGTCCCAGGGGTGCAGGTGGTGAATGGCTAGAAGATGCCTTTCCATCCCTCTTCCTACTTAAAAGATTTCCAATATGTTCTTTTGAGGATGTTGTACTTTCCTTTTATGAAGAATGTGTGAACTAAGCCTCACCTAGGTAGATGGCAAGTGTTCAAATCTGTGGTGCCTTAAAAAATCCAGCTGGTCAGGGGTGGATTAGTCTTTACCTGGTGGGGGGTAGGCGCTGTTTGTGGGTTAGAGGTGTCAGGGATAGACCTCTTTCTGGTCTCTCTGTGGAGCACTTCAGTTCACTCAGGGAACTTCGGCAGTAAGCACATTTTGACTGACATAGATAGTGGAAGACATGTACAGCAGCAGAGATAATAAAGCAAACCATGTGTTTTGTTTTTTTGGGGGAAGAACTAAACCTTTCCATGAAGGAAAGACAGAATTTTAAATGTTCTGTCAATTTGTTTATTTAGTCTAATTTTATTTCTCAAAGGAGAACATATTCGAGATGTTGGTTCCATTTCAGTCCACCTAATCCAACTGTTTCTTGGGCATTTTATTTTTACTGTTTATGAATTGAGCCACTGGCAATGGCTAATCATTTCCTAGCTGTTGTGTCAGCTCGTCGTTGCTGCGGTGCCTAAAGACAAAGGGAAGGAGCTGTAATTCTGGTTGCTGTCCTTCGGTTTCACAGCGACCTCGGGTGGTGAGTCCAGTGGGGTGCCAGCTTGTTCAGGGTACTAAGTCTGCAAACACTGAGTTTGGGATATTGTTTATCTTTCAACCTGCTGATGAAGGTGACTGTTGTTGTAGGTATTATCTCTAGCTTACTGTTAAAATCTGTCCGCATCTAATGATGCACATTTTCTGAAGAATACCTCTGGAGGAAGGCTGGACATGTGTTGTTCATGGGGGAAAGTATAATAAAGGAACATCAGAAAGGATCCAAAATACCTGGATGCCAGTCCTGGCTCTGTGGCTGGAATGACTGTTGAACTATGGCCAGACCCTTTATCTTTTCTGAGTCTCTGTTATCTCATCGGTAAAGGGGACTGTCGGATTGGGTCATCTTTAATGCCAGTTTTTAAAAATTGTGGTAAAATACACACAACATAAAATTTACCATCTCAACCATTTCTAAGTGTATAGTTGGTACTGTTACGTACACATATGCTGTTGTGCAGGCAGACTCCAGAACTCTCGTCATCTTGTAGAACTGGAACTCTGTGCCAGTTAAACAATAACTGCCCACTCCTCTCCTCCAGCCTCCAGTCTGTACTGGTTTGACTATTCTGAAATCCTACAGTGTTTGTCTCTTTGTGGCTGGCTTATTGATATGTTAACCTAAAAAGAAAAGGCAAAGTGAGAGGTAACAAGCTTGAAGTCCAAAGGAATAAGCTGTTGGGGAAGCAGTGATTTAGGCATAAACCCAAATGGTATTCTGATTAGGAGACAGAGACGAAGGGTGTTTGTGAGGAGGGGATGGGGACAGTTACATCCACAGAAGGCAGGCATTTCTCTTGGTGCAGAGAAGCTAACATAGTGATGTTAGTTTTAAACAATGGTTTTAAGTTTTAGTCCTGTAGCCGTCAGCCTTCTAGTCAGAAGATCTGATTTCTTGTTATCTCTGCAAACATTTTTCAGGGAATATAATGTTGCTTTAAGACTAGTCCAAAGGTTATTTTGCCCTGTTTTGACATTCTGGGGTTTGAGGCACAAGGCAGTTCCTCTGAGATGGCAGCTTTAGCTCTGTTTAAAGTGGCTCCATTTATATATATATTTTTGCACTATTTAACATAATAATGTTGTCAACTTAAGAACATCCACACCTGTAAGAATTTTTTATGAGCCAAACTGATGACAGTTGCCAGGAAGCAAAATCTCAATGGACCGAGAAGATTCTCTGGAAAATGGCAGTTTCACCACTTGTTTTATTCATTGGGGTCAAAGGGCAAGAAGCAAGGGGTTACATTAAACCCACTGGTGATGTTAGGGAGACATTAGGGAGGCAGGAGAAAGCAAAGCAGGGCAATCTCTGGGATCGGATACAAAGCGAAATGGTAGATGCATATTCTTTTACACCTGGTGGGGAAAGGACAGTAAAGAGTCAACAACTAATACAACAATAGTGAGGGGATCCCTGGTCTTGTGCTCTGGTGGGAGGCTGTGCCCCGAGGGGTCTGGAAAAGGGAGATTACTCTGACACTCCAAAGGCATGTTATTGTAGATGCAAAAATACAATAGACAGGGTCAGTTAAGGTAAAGACTGACCTTTGTCAAGGAAGATATCGGCCTAGGATGTGACTACCTGTCATGACCCACTTTTAGTTAGGAATTTTGATGCCTAAACCATCCTATGTAGTCACCTTCAGTCTCCAAGTTTGTACGGCCGCCCTGCAGGCCTCCTCTGGGCTCATCAATGTTAGTATGTGGCCCCTTCTTCATCCACAGTGTCCTCCAGGTTCATCCATATTCTAGCAGGTGTCAGAATTTTTTTAAGTATGTATATACCACATTTTCTTTATCCATTCCAGTGCTATTTGTAGATTAAAATTTCTAACTTTCCATGAGTCTTATCTGGCAGCCAAAGCTGTGGCCTCCCAAGGAGAAGGCACCTTGGCCAAGGGGTAACAGGTTAATGCTAGAAGCAAAGAGGTCGCTCTGGATCCAAGGTCAGTGCTCCTTCTAGCAGGGTGAGCTGTTCCCCTGGCCACAACTGGCATTTAGAGTAGGGAAGACACACCAAGTCCACACATGCCAACATATGACGATACCTGGCTTTGGTTCACACATTTCCAGAAATGGGTTCAGCATTCTAGCATCTCTCTATCTCTTTTGGCTCTTCTAAAATGTGTGTGTTTTATTGGGAGTAAGTAGAATGCCACTTGATCCCGAGATATAACATATAAACATGTAATTGTAGGATTCTTCTCATCTTGAAACTGGAAATGCCAGCATTTGTGCTGCCTGTCACTACCAGAACCTATAAGTAGAGACAAGGATTAAATCTATACAGCACTTTATTCAGATGCCAGTGATCTGAGAAGTCAGTGGGGCTGTGTGCCTCAAAAACTGCCTTAACATCTCATCTCAAGCTGACCTTTTTATACAGACAAGGAATGGGTAGGTAAGGGGTTAGGAAAAAGGTTAATCAGATAGGAGTTGCAGCCCCACAGTGATTTTTCATAGCACTTCTTTATCTGCTGGTCAGCAGTTCTTTATCTGTGTCTGGCAGTTCTATCCCTGGGACAGATGGCTCAGATATCATCTCTGTGGCTTGCAGACCCCCTGGGGCACAAAGGTCAGATTGCTCAGACCTCCTGGGCACATAGGTCATGAATTCCATTTCCTGGATTAACAGCTTCCTATTTATATTAATCGCTTAAGCCTACAACTAAAGTTAAGATCTTTACCTCTTGAATTATCCTATTAGTCTCAGTGTTATTTCTGTTCTTGACATAAAGATAATTTCAGAAAAGACTGCTAAAGAAAGCTATTTCCCTGTGTTTTGCTCCTTCCTCCCTGTCTAGTGTCACGGTCCCTTTGGCATTCTAAGAGAATTCATCTCAGTGTAGCTTACTTTTTAAGCTGATCCCAGTTCTGTAGGTAATTTCTTGTTGCCATCAGTGAAGAAAATGGAATGATATTTGCTACTGTCTGATTGTCTTAATTGTAGCATATGGTGGTTGAAAGCAGAAAAGGACAATTAGAGAGAAAATTCCTTCTTTGTCTGCTTGAGAAGACAATACAAATGGCAGATTTAGCTGCTGGCACTTGGCACTTTGTCAGAGAATTTCCAGAGCTCCTTCCTGATCTTCCCAGGATCAAAGTCAGCTGTTTCTGTGCCCACATCCAGATTTCTGTCAGGAGCTCTGCAACTGTCAGATACCCCTTCTGTGCCTGTGAATTCTCGAGAACCACAGGCCAACAATGTTCAGGGCCTCAGGGTAGCTCCTCAGGTAGGAGAGAGCATCATATCATTCTTGACAGCACATCTGAGCCAAATGGCGATAACTATAATAATTAATGGGGTTCATCTTCATGGGCAACGTACTGCTAGCACTGATACTATCTGTGATGTTCGTAATGCTCAGAGTGTTTTTTACAAGTGTAAAAAAAATCTCAAAACAAATAGAGCCACTTTGAAATGGAGCCAGAGCTGCCATCCCAGAGGAACTGCCTTGTATGTCCATCAGTCCATATGCCTCAAACCTTGGAATATTGAAACAGGGCAGAATTATGTTTGGGCTGGGCCTAAGGCAGTATTGTATTCCAAACAACTGTTTGCAGAGATAACAAGACAGCAGTATGATGACTACTGAACTGAAAATTCAAAACCTTGTTTAGAACTAACATCGCTGTGTTACGTGCACCAACAGCAATGCCTTCCTCCTGTTGATGTGATTGTTCCCCTTCCCTTTTTCATAAATACCCACTGTCTTTGTCTTGTAATCGTAACACTGTTTGGGGTTCTGCCTGGATAGCTGTTCTTATTGATCTAAAAAAATGATGTTGTCTCTCACTTTGAAAACCTTTTTATTTTTAGGTTATCATAAGGTTTTTAAATGAACCCTCCACAACCCTGAACCAGTTAAGTGTTAGCTCCATGTTGAACAGGAGGAAAGAGCCTGAGCTCAACAAAGTGATTGCCCAAAATCACATATAAGACCCTGGCTGGGTCTCAGTTGGTAAGAATGTTGTCCTAATACGTCAAGGTTGTGGGTTCAATCCCCAGTCAGGGTACATCCGAGAATCAACCAATGAGTGCGTAACTAAGTGGAATGGCAAATCATTGTTTTTCTGAATCAGTCTCGCTCTCTGTCACTGGCTCTGTCTTTCCCTCCGTCCCTCAAAATCAATTTGAAAAAAATCACGTGTGAAAGGGACAGCTTCACGGAAGGCACTGCCATGATACAGAGGGCGTCACTGATGCTTCTCCCTCTTGATACTGGTCTGTGTGTGTAAGGAAACATTCCAAGGTCTTGTCTTTACTTCCTTTCCCCCCAAATACTAATGTGTGTCATATGAATTTGTTCAGTGCGTTGTTAGCTTTGTTGTGCGATGAGATTTATTTTTTGCTCTCTTTTTCTTAAATACAGAATTTGGAGAAAAGTGGTATGTCAAGGAAAAATGACATAGGTATGTAATTTTTTTAAACTTAATATTTTTAATAAATTATGCATTTATTTATTTGCATTTAGTGAAATGCATTTGGTGAAATGCATTTGTCTTTCTGATTTTATTTAGAGTGTAAATATTGTTGAGTTTTCAGTAAGGGCAGATTGCCGTGCTGTGCACTGCTGATGACAGAAATGAATGAGACATCGTCTCTGTGACTAGGGGCCCACACGTAACGGGAGAGAAGGACACGCTGTGGCCTTTGCTTGTGCCTTCCTCTGCCTGGAGCCAGGTCCCCACTGTGGGCCCTCGGACACAACTTGCCCTTCAGGTCGGCTCACGGCACGTCTCCTGCCAGACCCCTCCCGGTCCCTGGTGCAAAGGGGTAGCTCGCTCCTTTGCAGACACACCACACTGCAGTCACAGCCCACGTACACGCGTCTTTATCCCTGAGCATATTGTGTCTTTAGGGATGTGACCATGACTGAGGATGTTTTTGGGTGTGTTCTGTGGAAAACAAGCCCTAGGGTGTTAACTGGAGGGTAAGGCCACACCTCTGTGTGTAGGGGTGGATCTTTCCCCAAAAGGTGTGAACTTCGTCACTAGTGGGCCTTGGAGACCTGGAAGGTGGGCCTGCATTCTAAGGAGTTGGCAGGACAGGAGGGAGCACCTGGGCGCAGGCCTGGTGGTGTGGGGAGGCTGGCCTGTGCTGTGTATGCGCGTCTGAGCCCCTGCACGCAGGGGAACACAGGGCCATGAGCGGGGCTCTGCCAGCTCTGGGAGCAGCGGTATTTAAGGAGCCACATTGCTTGGTTGGGAGCCAATGGGTCTCCTTGTAATAAATGGTTATTAAACGATCTGATGATCATCATTGGGAAGTGACTTTAAAAGGACCAAGGGGAAGTTACCTGGACCAGAAATCTACATTCTTGCAAATCCGGATGGCCAATGTGGTGATATTTAACTTGGTATCTGGTCATCTGCAAAGGACCCTGGGGATCTGTTGGTTGCAGTCTTAGTGAGTCTGCAGGACCAGGGACTCCCAAGGCAGTGGAGCCGGGGTGCTCAGATCATGGTCTGAGCTATACTCAGGGCCGGGTGGCAGCCTCCAACACGGGCAGTCTCTTTTTCTCTTCTGGCTTACCACCTAGTCTGCAGATTCGCCAGTGACATTATTCTCACTAAGTGACATATTAAGTGCAGAGTAGCCCTTCATGTGTGAGTATGTGTGCATACTTATCCCTCAGCCTTAAGTCATGAGCCTGCTTGTTACTCAGCTTCTATCTGAAGAACCCACATTGATTTCTCAGCAGAAAAACACCAGATGTGAAATTTGTGTGTCCAGATAATTTCTGACCAGCAAGAATCAGTGCTTAGTAGAGTGTTCGGCACATGACAGGTGCTCAGCACCTGCAGAAATGGAGGACCCTTGATTTATTTTACCTCCACAGAATTATTTCTCCTGCAGGGACCTGTTCTAACCACCCCTGCTTCTGTTGCCTGTACTCAGTACTCTCTGCAGCTCTCCACTGGCTTTAGTTCTTTATCTTCCTGTCACACTTATCATTATTTTCAGGCACTTAGTGTACCACCCATTTGTCACTGGTGCCTGAAGGAGAAACAATGACAATTTGTTTTGAGTGGTGACAGTGTTTGCTGAAAGCAAACTGCACTGAGTTTGGAGACGTGCAGCCAAAGTGAGAGGAAGTGGTGGAGTTGTCTTGTTAGCCTGGGAGTCGCCAGGTCGGGAGGTGTCAGCAGAGAGACACTGCTGTGCACTCTAGACACCACCAGGCTGTGGCTCAGTGAGGGAGGCTTTAGAACACGTGTCAGAAAATATTTCTTGGTGCTGATGTAAAGAGCAGGAGGAATTTAAGCACATAAGTTGTTTTTGCCACTGAACTGTACTGACCTGGTTCTCTTCTGGAAGGGGCTAGGGTGGAATGGAACGGAGACAATTTTCTATCATTATTACCAGGTTTTAAGAACTGGGAGCACTCTTCCTTTTACGCCTTGCTCACTGTAACTCCCCAGTAGGCATCCTGTTCCTTAGCCCCACACCTAAGTGTCAGGGCCCTAAGGTCACAGGAAAAGAAATGAGGGCACTGTGAGCTCGGGACACCAGAGAAGAGAGGGGAGGACAGTGGGAGCAGCGAAGGTTTGGGTCCCACTGTCTGGGCTCCCAGCAGACTCCTGAGCTTGTCCCCAGTTTGGAAACTATTAATTTGGAGTCCCAACCTCTGAGTGAGGCCTCTAAATCCTTCATGATTGATCTGGCTGAGCCATCCTCCCACTTCAACTTTATCACTGACTGTTCCCTGCGTCCTTTGCTCAGACACACCAGGCACACTCCCTCGTCACCCACTCAGGGACGCTGCAGAGATGAGGCTGCTGTGGTCTCAGTGATAATCTCACTTGCCTCTGCTGCTGCTGCTGTTGCTGCTGCTCTGCAACCCCCTGAGCCTGAGCTTGCAGAAATGGCTGCTGCTTAAAGGGATCTCAGGAAACAGCTCCTCCCAGAAGCTCTCCTTGCACTGGCTCCCCCTCCTCCGTGTCCTCCCAGCTCCCCACACGGCTCTGGCTTTGCACTTACACCTTTGTGATAGGATGGCCTACCTTCTTTTAAAAAATAGTCTTATTTTTTAAAATTTAAGTATAGGTAGCACACAATATTATATTAGTTATATTACTTTCAGGTATACAGTATAGTGATTCAGCATTTATGTGCCTCACAGTGGGAATCCCACACTAATTCTGGCCATTATCTGTCACACTGCAAACTATCACAATGTTTTTGACTGCATTCCCTTCACCTTTTTTGCCCATCCCTTACCCCTGCCTGCTGCTGCCAGTCATCCCTTTGGTCTCTGTTTCTACAAGACTGTTTTTGTTTTGTATTGTTTTGTTCTTTAGTTTATTTTATTTTCCAACTAAATCCTGTTGTAGCCTAGCCAGTGAGGTGGTCTGTTAGCAGACTTTACAGCTGCAGCTCTTTCTGGATCCCCCCATGTATCTGTACTCTCCTTCAAACAGGCCTCTTCCTCGGGTGTCAGTCACCTTCACGACATCTGACATTCCATTCTGTCCCAAAGCATGAGGAACACTAAGGAAGACATCTTCTTTTATTCCATAGAGACCCTTGATCATGTTGGAAATTGGATGCATGATTCCACGTAAAAGCAAAAGCATATGGTATTTGTCTTTCTCTGATTGACTTATTTCATTTAGCATAATACCCTCTTGGTCCATCCATGCTGTGGCAAATGGTAAGATTTCATTCTTTTTTATGGCCAAGTAGTATTCCGTTGTATGTTTGTGTGTGTGTGTGTGTGTGCAACACATCTTTGTTCACTCATCTACTGATGGACATCTAGGTTGCTCCATGTCTTGGCTACTGTAGATAACGCTGCAGTGAACGCAGGTGTGTGTACATCTCTTCAAGTTAGGGTTTGGCTTTCTTCAGGTAGAAGAAAGACATAGAATTGCTGGGTCTTATGGTAGTTCTATTTTTAGTTTTTTTTTGAGGAAACTTCATACTGTTTTCTGTAGTGGCTGCACTAGCTTGCAGTCCTACGGACAGTGTACTTGGACTCAGGTGCTGATATCTGTGGACTGTTAGGTCCCCTTTGTGTCCCAGATCCTGGCACGTGGTAGAGACTCAGCAGTGTTTGCTGAATGGATGCACACAGCACACATGGTTGAAGCCCATGGAACAGAAGGGCATAATTCTTAGTAGCAGGAGAAATACATACAACTAACAGCACATGTCCCGGATAGGGGAAGAGGGGAAAATTTTGCTTTTTCTTCTTCCAAAGTCTCTCCTCTGCATTGGATGATCTGCAGACAGTGGGAGTTCTGCTGATCTGGCAGAAGTGGTGGGGTCTGGTTACTGTGGTGAGAGCAGGATTTTGACACATGGATCTGCTCTCCTAAAAATTTTATTATGAATTATTTTGGACATATAAAACACCACGAAGAGTAATGTAATGATATCCATTACAAATTACTACACAGCTGAAGCCTTTGAACCATCATCCAGATTTGCTGCTTATCATTCTCGAATAATCTTACACTTACGTCAGATGTACGCACAGTATCTGCATATGTACACAGCATATATGTACTTTAATGTATATATGTGTATGCTTTTGCAAACCATTGATTTATATAATTGTTCCTTTGCAGCTTACTTTCCCAGCATTCCCTCTACACAGTTCATCTCCAGCATCCATTGGGGTCGATATGTACAGGACTAGTGAATTTTCATTGTTGAGTGGTATTTTGATTTGTGCACCTTGTTAGTGAGCATTTGAATCACTTCCAGTTTTCCTTTTGCACAACTTCCTGGGAGTGCACTTGTGACAGACCCTCTCACGCACGCAGGAGCATTTCTCAGTGACGCTTAACAGCAGTAGAATTTCTGGGTCATTGGGAATATGCATTGACTTTATCTTCCTCGACTTTATTAAATTTTTTAAAATTACTCTGAGGTTTTACTTCATTCTTCACAAAAGTAAATCCCCATATCTCTTCTTTTCATATGTTGGTTCGTGTTAATGTTTCAGATGTAGTAGATGGAAGGTTATGTTTTAGTTGAAATAGAAGACACCATGTTAGTCCTTCTGGGTGTCTGATTTAGATCCAGACGCCAAGTTAAAGTAGAGATAAATATGTACAATCTGCACATGTATATACAGTCTGATGGAAAGCAAGAGGTCATATTCAGTAGGTTGTTCAGCATTTCCTTTCATGGCACATTTTTTTTTATTGCATTTTACCCAAAAAGTGTTTGGGATTATTTTCAGGATCTGGATGGCTCACTGTGGAGCTATTTGTTGTATGAATGTTTGAGTGAGTGAAAAAGTGAATGGCATTATGGAAAGGAACATCAGAACAATAAAATATAATGGAATAAAAATGAGATTCCTGCCCCTGAGTCGAGATGTTACAGGGAAGGGCTCATGCTGGGGGTAGTCCCCACAACCCATTTGCTGTAATACTTGCTGGAGGCTACCATTTTTTGTTTTTTTGTTTTTTTGACAGCTGCCTTCTGCCACACCCCATCTGGTGGCAGGGTGCTGCTATGACAGTGTATTCTGTCACCGAATGGGGAAGCTCCTGTGCTTCTCCACGTGGGGCTGGAGCAACCATCTCTGCTTTGGGCCACCTCTGGTAGTCCTCTGGGTCAGGTGGGCGTGTTGGAGCAGGGGTGCGTCCCTGCTGGTCATTGCAGAAAAGCCAGCCACCTTGCAGTGAAGTGAATCTTATGAGGCCCAGCAAGTTCTGCCCATGTGGCCAGTGTTGTCATAGATGAGCTTTTAGGCAGCAGTTCTTGCTGAACCCTGCTTCTGTGGGATTGTGGCTGTGTTCCCGGAGAGAACGCTCATTTCTGGCTGGATGCCTGTGAAGTAGGTCCGGATCATTAAGCTATTTATTTGTAAACTCACGGGACATATGCAGTCACCGTCGAATGTCACCCTTGAAGAGTCTCCAAACAGTTGTGAGTAGTATGTTAGTTTGCTGGGGCTGCAGCAGTGAAGTGCCACAAATTGTGTGGCTCAAACAACAGAATTTTGTCTCAATGTTCTGGAGCCTGGAAGTATAAAATCAAGGTGTTGCAATGTTAGTGTCTTTCAAGGTCTCTTTCCTTGGCTGGTAGACAGCAGTCTTACTGTGTCTTCATATCATCTTCCTTCTGTGTGTCTGTGTCCACAACTCCTCTTTCTATGAGAACACCAAATATGCCCTGGCTCGTGTAGCTCAGTGGATTGAGAGTGGGCCTGCGAACCAGAGGATAGCGGTTCGATTCCCAGTCAGGGCACATGCCTGGGTTGCAGGGTTGCAGGCCAGGTCCCAGCAGGGGATATATGAGAGGCAACCATACATTGATATTTCTCTCCCTCTCTCCTTCTCTTTCCCTCTAAAGATAAATAAATAAAATCTTTAAAAAACATTAAAAAAAAAGAACACCAAATATATTGGATCAGGGCTCACATTAGTGTCCTCACTTAAACTTGATGTCAAGACCCCGTTCCAAATAAGGTCACATTCTGAGATCCTGGGGGTTATGACTTCCATCTAAGTTTGGGGGACATAATTCAACCCATAGCAGGTAACAGCCCAATGTAGGATTATGTATGCATTGTTAAAAGGCTACTTGCAAACAAGGTTTTCTGTGTCTAGGGGGGTTAGTGTTCTAGACATTTTCATACTTTACTGTGTTTACAATCATTCTTTTTGACAGGCAGGAGCAAATCCATAGCTTGTTACTATAGACTTGGATTAGGACATTGAGTTTACTTACTTGCTAGTTTCTAGGAAAGAAGTTTTGTAGGTCAAGTTCAAAAGACAGATTTTATCATTAGAATTACCTATACATTGATTTTTTTCCCCTAAGCGCTTATTTCCTGAAGGCTTATCTTGTAGCGTGTTTTTCGTTTTAAATCTTGTTTTCAAGTTTATTTTGGTTGTTGTCAAAAAAATGAACACCTGAAAAGTTTTTTCTTTTTTGGTTCTAGATTTAAAAGGAATTGTGTTTGTCATCCAGAGTCAAAGTAATTCTTTTCATGCAAAGAGAGCAGAAGAGTTAAGAAGAAGCATCTTAAAGCAGGCTGCAGATCTTACACAGGTACGTGGAAACGGCTCGGGGTGTCTGCTCAGTGTTCCATTTACCGGTACGTGCTGTTTCCCAAAGCTCTTAGTCTGCAGAGAATCAATTTTGTTTAGATGAGAGTAACTCTTCTGGCTTGTTTGCTTATTTAGTATTGACTACTTATGATTTAAAATGTGCTAGTTAATTGCTAATGCTCACAGCATCACAGTCTAAATATATTACATATATTTAGTTTTTAATTTAAGAGAATTATATAATTGGTGTAGGACTATGGTGGGTTTGTTATAAAGTATGATACAAAGAAGAAATAACTTTTTAAAGTAGGGCTTAAAATAGCAGAGATAATTAATGTTTAAAATTTTGGTAACCAGTTCTAAGGCAATTTTCATGTTGAAATAACATTTTCATTAACCTCAGTGTGATATTTCCTCTGAGGGTCTCTTAATCTGCATTTTAATGGGATATTATTAATTGAATTTTTGATTTAATTTATAATGTGTTTCTGAGAATGATCATGGAAAGATTGACACATACAGGTACATTCCGATACAGTTTAAGATAGGCATGAACTGAATTTCATGCTGGAGCTTTGGGGCAGCGAAACCTTCTTATGCTGTCATACCGCTGCTTTCTTCTTTGACCAAGCGAGAACCAGCCCCTCCAGGCCTGCTGCTCTACACGCCATGGCCTTCAAGGCACGGTGCCTGCCTGTGGGTAAATGCCATCCCATTTACCCGTCTCCACAAGAACTCTGAAAGGAGATGTGTGCCCGATGGATTGCTGTCCTTCTGCGCGTGGGGGCTGGGAAATAGAGGGTTGGAAAATTATCCACCGCAGTGAGAGTGAAGGCTAAGGTAGCACTGAGATTAAGATTTGTTGTGCTTTATCTTGAAATGATTTACATATGAAAATTTATATAGCCATCCCACATCCTTGCAAGGGTAAGTTCTTGGGTCCCCTGCTAGCAACGTGGCACCTTCTAAGGGGGAAGAAACAAGTACCTGCTTTTTTTTTTTTTTTTTTTTTTTTTTTAGAGCTAAGAGCAGCTTGATGAGTTTGAAATTCTTTGTCCGGAAACCCAGCTTTGGAGATTTTCTTCTATAAACCTGTTAAGATTTCATCAGCAAGGCAGACATGCCGCCCCCTTGACTGGCTGTACTCCTTCCTCTTGCTCTGTGTGGCCCTGGTGGAGTGGACAGAGGAGGCTGCCGTGGGGAGCAGGGCGCCCAGTAGCCCCAGTAATCCCTCCTCTGGATCCCAGCGAACTTGAAACAATGTCACCCTATCAGGCTGTGACAGTTACCCCAAAGTGAGCAATCAGAGATGAGTTTGTGCTAGGAAGATAGGATCTTATGATTAAGTGAATCGTGAGGGACAGTATTGAAAAGGTGAGAAAATTCACTTCTCTGCTTTTACACAGACATCGTTGCAATGACTTATAAGGAAGGTGGAGATTTGTGTTGCGTCCCAAACAGTGCAGTTGTGGGCAGCCAGCAACAGGCAGCTCTGCCCCGGGGCCCTCCGCCTCCTTACTGCACTGCGGGCTGGGCTGGCTCCCCACTGTTGACCCTGCATTCCAGTGTGTGGAGGGCAAGCAGCTCCCTGATGAGGATGTGACCTTCAAGTTACAATTAGCATCTCCCCTAACACTCGATTGTCCAGAACATAATCACGTGGGCACACCTCAGCTGGGAAAGGTCATGTCTCGTTGGGTGGCCTCGGATCCAGCCAAACCTAAGGGGTTCTACTCACCAAAAGAAAGAAGGTAGGAGTGGAGACTGAGACAAATTCCGCTAAAGTCAGGATTTTGTTTACATGTCAGGGACTCATCTAGTCTGTGGAGGAATTTATCTGTGGGCCTCTCATTCACTCATTGAGTGTTGACAGAGCTACTGGGGGCAAAATACTGGGTGTCCAAGGGTCACCAAGCCGTGGTCCTTGCACTGGAACAACGCACAGTGGTGGAGAGGAGACAGGCCCACAAATGGGCACCTTTAAAACAGAGAGGGAGTGCAGACACGGACAAGCGTTGTGTGGTTCTGCTTGTCTGCAGTCTCTGAAACTTCACAGAGTCAAAGACTTAGGGATTTACCAGGGGCTGTTGGGGGAGGGGCAGTGAGGAGTTACCAACAGTTGTAAACTCTAGAGATATGAATTACAAAATTGTCCTTACAGCCAAGAATCCTCTGTTGTACACCTAAATTTTATTAGGAGGATTGCGCTCATGAATATTAAATGAAAAATTCGGTACTTGGTAGGTTGGGAGGAGGTGGGGGTCAGGGAGGGCTTTTTAGGTGGACAGTTGGGAAATAAAGGCAGCCAGGTGAGAAGCAGGAGCACCATGTGTGTGTGTGTGGGGGAGGGGCTGGACTGCCGTCCTGAGGTGGGTATAGAGTGGGGGGCCAGACCGCAGGGGAGCTGTGTGTCCTGTTGAGGACTCAGACCGTTCTCAGGGGCATTACGGGTACTCTGAGAGGGATTTCTTTGATGTCCAAGACACTTAGCATCCCTGCCCCCTGGCAGTGGGTATAGGAGCGACCCCTAGTCCCTGTGCTGACAGTGTTCCCTGTGGAGAATTACTGTTAGGGAGAGTGGTTAGGGCGTTGACCTGCTCAGACGTTTGTTTTAAACCCCTGACTCTGGTGGCAGTGTTGAGAATCAAGAGTGGGGCAGGGGGCCTAACTCTAAGGCCCTTGGGTTCATCCAGGGCAACGTTGCCCAAAGTGGATGCAGGACCCACTTTGTTACAGGCAGTTTCGGAAGTGCTGGGCTGAGGTGAGAGGTGCAGCTGGCCAGGGTGCTGGTGGCAGGGGTGACATCGGGCCAGAATTGGGGGAGATTGGGCCCATGTGAAGTGGGGTGGGGTGGGGCCATCATCTGAGGCTGACGAATTCACAGGTTTGTGGGGTGCAGACAGATGACTGAGTGTGGTCAACATACCAACTTGGTTGGAGTACGCGCATCAGCTCAGGTAAGGGCAGATGACACCAAGTGCTTTTTGGGAAGGTCATAGGGTGTGTTGGATTTTCAGAGAAAAAGGGATTTCTTCCAAGGTCATCCTCTCTTGTGACTGCTGGCTGTACATCTGTACCCTCTTTAGTAAGCAGGAGCCTTGCTCTCCCTCCCAAGCATCTGCTGCTGTCTTGTGGGCACAGGGCAGCTTTAGCTCAAGTGGTTACTTCGTCATGACAGACACTAACTAGTTCCTGCCCTGGGCCTCAAACCCACCACCCTGAGATTAAGAGTCTCATGCTGTACTGACTGAGTTAGCACTAACTTCGGCATAGTGCACTGCAGCCCAGAACTCCTGGGCTCAGGTGATCCTCCTGCCTCAGTCTCCCCCAGTGCCAGGCACGGTGGCGCACGCCTGTAGTCCCAGCTACTCAGGAGCGGGAGGCAGGAGGATCACTTGAGCCCAGGAGTTCTGGGCTGTAATACACTGTGCAGATCGGGTGTCCGCATCAACTGAGGGTTCTGTAGTTGAAGTCTGAGATGGAGGTTTCAGTGGCTGAGAGCTGCACAGTTGAAGTTCAGGAGAAAGGCATGAGCAGCAGGTGGTGGGTTTGTGCGTTCACAGGTAATGCCCGAACAGTGGAAAGTGCTGCTCCGCTGGGGAACCCCGCATCCAGGAGCTGGGCAGAGTGAGAGCAGCCCTCTCTGGACACAGGGAGAAGGTGCCTCGTGGGCCATCAGGGAGCCTGAGCCAAACGCACACCTGTCAGCACTGTTCTGTTCCCCAGAGAGGACTCCGAGAGGGCCTTAGCCCGGCCACGTGCCTGGACCGTGTGTGCACTCACTCGCCTCAGCAGGCGTCCTGCCCAGGGCTTCCTTGTTGCTCGTGCCCCTGCCACTGTCACTGTTGTTATTTTTAATTGCACTAAAGAACATACAACATAAAATTTGCCATCATAGTCATTTTTGTTTTAAAGATTTTATTTATTTATTTTTAGAGAGAGGGGAAGGGAAGAAGGAGAGGGAGAGAAACATCAATGTGTGGTTGCCTCCAGTGAGTTGCCTCACTGGCGGGGACACCTGGCCTACAACCCAGGCATGTGTTCTGACTGGGAATTGAACCAGCAACCCTTTGGTTTACAGCTTACACTCAGTCCACTGAGCTATACCAGCCAGGGTACGTTGTAATTGTTTTTAAGTGTATTTTTGCAGTGAAGCGCCTTTATGTGGTGTAACCCATTTCCAGAGCTTTTTTACCTAACAGACTGAAACACTGTCCGTATGCTTCAGCCCAGACCCCACTGTTCTTTCTGTCTGTGTGGATCTGACTTCTCTAGGGGCCTCTGATAAGTGGAGTGTACAGTATTTGTCTTTTGCTGGCTGACTTCTTTCACTCAGCATAAAGACCTCCAGGTTCATCCATGCTCAAGGTTGTAGCCTGTGGCTGCATAGTCTTACTGCAGTTATTTTGAAGAACTCTCCATGTTTTGCTAGTAACCTCAGTGCTTGTTTGGTGCCTGGCATGGGTGTCCTGCCTGTCCTTGGTCCTGTAGGCCATCTGTCCTGCCTTCAGAGTCAGAGGGAGGCCAAACCCCTCTGCCCTTCCCCACGTCCCACAGGACACCCAGAATGATGCCAAGCACAAAGTCAGCAACCGAATTGTCATTGATGCATTTTCTCACCTTCCGAAGGGTAGAGAACAGCTTCATTGATCACAAATAGTTAACTTTTCTTGCACTTTATTCTGAGCTTATTTAGTTTGTGTGCATGTATCTTTGACATTTTATTATCTTCGACATTTATGATTAGCACTTTGTACAACTCGTTTTGTAGGTGACTCAGATGACCACTAGGTGGCAATGCTGATTTTACATTTAAAGACATTACGCAGTCTCATTAAAAAAACTCTTGTCCTCCAGCATTTGATTTCTGTGATAATAAATGGAATATGGAATAAAATAGTAAGGAAGCCTCCCTTTAATGATAAGATAGAACAGTTTTCTTTCTTTTTTGTCACAGTAGATGCATTTTATTGATATAAAAGTTATCCTCCTGATGAGCCT